TGATTGTTTGTTAAATGCAGAAGGTGAAATCTGAATGTTGTATATATTACATTTTTGCCTTGAATATCTTCTACACGTAATATTAATATAAAGATATTATATTAAAACATAAACATATATATAAAATGATGAATTTCACCAAAGAAATATATCAATTTAATAATGAATATTAATGTCAAAACTGATAATAATAATTTCAAAATCAATATATAAAATGAATATGAAAATGAAATATTTATGAGAATGAGATTAAAATTCTCGCCCAAATGATTCGATTTTTATTTATATAGTAGATTTGCACCATAATAATGGTGTGAGGGTTTCATTACATGATTGTTGATTATAAACTTGAGTGAACCTTGTACATATTGATTTATTTATATTTTGTTGAATATTATTTATATTTACATTATTTAAGAAGGAAAGTACAATCAAACATTTGAGAATTTGGAGAAAGTTAAAAGTAAAAATCCATCGGAAGAGAATAGAAATGCAAAGTGGAAATAGAAAGTTTATCAATACGTTTAATTCAAGAGTATGATCAATACATTTACTAGAAATATAATATTTGAGGGTAACATTGTCATTCACAAAATATTTTAAAACTTAAAATCAATTATCATCTTCTGTGATAAGCGTTAAGTAAGGTCTGTGTCGCTTAAAATTTTGCCATGTTTTAAACTATTGCATTATATTTTAAGTGTTAACTTAAATGACCAACGGGCCAGTGGCCTAGCGGTATCAGTTTCTTACCTCCCAAAGGGAGTTCAGGGTTTCAAGTCTCAGAAGAGATATGAGTGTGTGAGTACCAATTAGGGAAAAAAAAATGTTAACTTAAATGTTATCAAACACGCTAATTTTAAATCTTCTTTTACCTGTTCTGTGTTAAGCGCTAATAACGATATCAAACAAGTTAGTGTATAACTCCGTGAGCAACCAAAAAAAAATTGTCTTTTTACCTTGATTGTCAGACATTATGTCAAGAAGTTGTTGGTCGGACCTATTCTCATAAAAATAAATGAAACTTTGGTTTGATTATCATGTTAACAAATTTTATTTATTTTTGGGTTAAAAAACAGGGTTGGAGTTGTAACCAACAAAAAAAAACACATATTATACCAAGAAAGAGAATAAATGGGGCTTAAAGTGCCACCTGTTACATTAGAATCAAGCTTACCCCTCCGGAATCTATGGAATTTAGTCATGATGGAAAAAGATAATATAAATTAGACAGAGACAGCGAAGGCTGGTAACACATATTGATGAGGAAAAGACCGGGAAATGAATTAGAAAATTCTTTAACAATTCAATAATATAAATATATATATGCAAGCCATGCCTTCATGGGATCTTTTATAGCTTCACTTTATGACCAATTTGTATATGCTGTACGTCTTTGGCATCAATCCTCATTCCAGCCACCATACATGATGAAATAAGCAAATCGAAAGCTAAATTCTCCTTTTTCTTTATTTTTTCTGTTTGCTACGAAAAATTACTTTGGATCCAACATTATGGCTGACAAGAGTACTATCTATATGTGTGCGTGAAGTTGTGGTCTGAATTTTATTTGGTCAAGAAAAGTGTTGCGAATTTGCGATCTACTTGAAAACAAGATTTGTTTGGATTTATTTTATAGACCTACTTTTTTTTTTTTGCATGTCATGGAATTGAGTTGTAAGAAAAAATTATGTTGGACAATGAATTAGAATGAAGGATCTTTCCTAATTTTGAAAGTTTTCTTAAGGTCTTTTGTGAATTCTTTCAAAATTTAATGGGGGCATTTTAGTAATTATAAAAAAATATATTTTAAAAATAGGAATAACAAAATATTTCCATTAGTACAATTGCTCCCCTGGACATAACCTGGCTCGTTCAAGCTGAGCTTAATAAGAACCCAATTGTCGAGAAATTATTATATTATCCCGACAAATTAATAATTAACACATTTAAGTAAAAATTTAAATAAAATTAACACAAAATTAAAACACGTGTAAATTAGTAATTCACCTCTGCACAATTGCCTACCCATTTTAAGTTTACTGACCTTTCTTGGACACAGTCTTCTAAGCAATTTGTCGCTAAGTTCTTGTCTTTCTTGGTTAATTCTATTAAAAGAGAGTAGACCAATTGAATACTGATTACGACTGATATATATATATATATATATCGTCAATGTCCATAAATTTAAATTGTTCAAAATTATAGAAATAGGCTATTGTTGGTGCGACAGCATGAGATTTTATTTATTGGAATGTATTGTTCAAATATAGATGCCATTTCATGACTTGTAGCTTTGTTTTGCTTTGTAATTCTAAGGAGAGAAATTAGAGACGTAGAGAATTAATTGATGTCACCACTTATGTTTTTTCTTCTTGCCTTCTTTAGCTAAGACAATTGTTTGGTGACAGAAAAAAGTATGTAATGGGGTTGTTTATCTTTATAAATTTGAAAGAAATTTTTTTTTTTTTTTCAACTTCGAGCAGCAAAAGTATGAAATTTAGCTTGACTTTGAAAATATATATATATATATATATATTTTTAAATGACCTAATTTTTTTTTTTTTGTTAATAGTCACAAACACTTGTCTCTTTTAAAATTTAAATCATGATTTTCGTTTGGAAGATAAGAGACTGATATGTAAAACTCAATTTTTTAATATTTTTATTTTGGAACGACTAATATCAAACTAAAATTCATATGCCCACGATAGTCAATTGGATTTCTCAATCAGAGTATAATAAATTGCTACACCAAACGACGACAACAGTTTGGCCATTCAAAAGAAAAATCGTACAATTCAAGTACTCCACATATCTCAACACGTGTTTGAATGGCCCTTTGAATTTTGAACCATCTTAATCACTCTTAAGTCTTCACAAATCATTTTAACGTAGTTATATGCCCTCCATTTGTTGACAAGTTATTGGGTATTTTCGGTATTTTTTTTTATCATCAAGATAAATGGAAGGTTTTATTAATATATGGGTATTCAATAACTATATTTTTTCTCAATTAAAGTGCAATTCTCCTGTTAAAAGACTATTATATTGTGAAAATATATATATATATATATATTTTAATATTCAAAAGATCGTGGTTATAAAATACCCGACTAATGAAAACACCAAGTATTGATTATTGAATACATATTTTTCGAAAAACCTCATTCACATTTATCATTCCTAGCCTTCATGCCGTAAACGAGCACATCTTTTCCTTGCACGTGTGTACTGGTTTGTTGAGGAATTTCTTCATTTTCTAGATTTCAATCTTTTGCGGTCCATCATTCCACTTGATGACGTCCACCTTCTAGATATGCAATCTTGTATTACGTATTGACCGAGCAGTGATACTTAAGCTCTAGCCGACTTGTTGAGCTTAAAATATCTCAATCGTCCGTAAACAAGAAAGCACTCAGAAATTCAAGTAAGAGGGGATACAATATTGTATTTTTTTTTTTTTTAATAAGTAATATTGTATTTTCTTAATAATTTTAAGATTAAATGTAATATTTTGTAAGTATATATATATATCAATAAAAAAAGTCAATGTCCGAGACAAATGTCATTAAAAATCTTATTATCGATTTTATTACGAAACTTGTACCATACAAAAAAACCAAATGTCAAAAAAAAAAAAAAAAAAAGGTAAATAATAAATAAATAAAGGAGAAGAAGATATTAGTACTCCAAAAAGTTTCTTCACACTACTTTTTGTATTGGAATTCAAGAAATAAAGTGATAATCTTTTATAAAAGCCATTTCACATCCCATGTGCAATTAACACGTGATAAGATCAGGTTTTTTTTCCTTTTCTTTTTTGTTTATGTGAAATTCAGGTTTATATTGAGGGATAGACCAAAAGAGGTATGAGGTGGCAATTGTACCCCTGAATTTTATTTATTTATTTTTTTTTTAGGATTAAGTAGTTGTAATTTTTCTTATTTTCAATTATATACCTTTGAAAATTTTCCATTGTGCCTCCGAAATTAAAGAGAAAAAAAATTAATTTTTGATCCCCCTCACTCAATATGCTGGTCCGTCCTTGTTTATATTGTCACTCATCAAAGTAGGTAATCCTGCAAAATATTAGGTTGTTCAATTTCATTGACCTTTCTTGAATTTGTAAGTCTCGTTACGAAACTTTCAAGATCTAAGAGCTAAATTTGCATAATTAAGATAACAACGATCGTAATTTAGGACCTCCAAAATTTAAAAAGGAAACTTGCACAATTACGACAATGGCAACCTTAAATATGAGTTTCGATTGAACCTTAGGAGGATCTTTAATAATTTCTCATAAATTAAGTAATTTAATGGTATTGCAAATGTTATGTTACAAAATGATTGAATTTCTTCTCGTGTTTAGAAGTTTGTGCTCGAGTCTTACACCATTTCTCTCCCTTCTAACAATTAATCACTAATTATTAACATTTTATGTTGAAAAAATAAATAAGTACTTTAACAGTCTTGGTTTTGCAAATATCAATTGTGTGAGTCAACAAATCCGTACCACTACACGTACGAATGGGTGATGGAGCCAACAAAATTTTGACCTTATTTAAGGGTGGGTATACATGTAATGTGTGGCTTAAATTTAGAGAACCAAACAAAAAAATTGGTCAATGTCCTAGACAAAGGCCATTAGAAATCTGATTATTAGTTTTAGTTGGTTCACACTGCTCTTTAAATTTAAATTCAAGAAATACTAAAGTGACAACCTTTTTTTCAACCCAATATCACATATATGTGCAATTAACACGTGCTAAGCATCAGCTCGTTCAATTTATTAAATGACCTTTGTACACGAACCTTTTTCTTTACTATTCAACTTTCCTACCATTTTTTTTCTCCTAAAGTGTCTGTTTTCATTGACAAAATATCAGTCATTTTGTCAAAACAATACAAATAACACCACCCACAATTTAAAGTCCAACAATCTCACAACCGACCACTCCTCTGTCTCTAATATTATATTTATATATATATATATATATGTATAATTTTCTTACTATAACATATGTTGACTCTCCACAACTCTTACAGAGGCATTCCCAGAAACCTCCATCGTAAATAAGAACCTCATTCCTCTTCCTCTCGAATATTAGAATCTCTCTCTCTACACCCACCACCACCACCACTTCTATAAAGCGAAAACGTCACAAGAAAAAGAAAAACCCATAAACAGAGTATATATAACATCCTATACACACATGTATATAATCATGTCAATTACAGACCCTTGGCCTAAATTCTAACAAACCCATTTCAGATCATTGTTTTTGCTCCAAACCCATTTCGTTTCGTCATTTCTCATCGCCCAAATCATGAAAAGAATTAGAGGTTTCAGGTTACGAACAAAGCTGGTAAAGGCCTTCAAATGGGTCGTCCATGGAAGGACAAAGCGAGCAAGCAGTCGACGCTTAAGCTACCAGAACTCTGCGATCAAAGCCATGTCCAAGCTCTGCAATTGGGGTCGTTCTCTGAAGCATGGAGCTAAGTTGCTCTGTTCTTCCAATACCAATTCGGGTTACAGTCGGGTGGGGCAAGACCTGATTGACGCAAAACCAGTGGGTGTACCGAAGGGTCACATGGCGGTGTACGTGGGCGAGAAAGAAGATGAAACGCATCGTTTCTTCGTGCCTGTGGTGTACTTTAATCACCCACTGTTTGGGGACCTGTTGAGAGAGGCAGAGAAGGTTTACGGGTTCAATCATTGCGGGGGGATCCAGATACCATGTCGGATATCCGAATTTGAACGTGTCCGGACTAGGGTTGCCGGCGGCGGTGGTAGTGGCGGTGGCGATTACTGCCCTGGGTGGCGGAGCTGAGGGGTCAGTACTGCTGTGGGAGAAGTGGTTAGAATATTGTGAGGGTGATTTTGAGATTGATATTTGCCAAACTATTTTTACCCTCAGTTGTAGTTTGATTGTAGGCCTTGTTTTCAACATACATGTAGAAAATTTAGTTGTGTAAATCAAAGTTTTTATTTTATTATTATGATTATTGTTGGAAGTTAAGATGAATTTTATTAGAATCTAGAGAGAAAAATTAAGAAAAAAAGTTGTTATAAAGCAAAAACAATGAAATGCAAAAGCACAATGAGAATCTGAACAGTCTCTCACAAGGAAGATTGGCAAATTTGACTTGAGTCATTGATGCAAAACAGACAAAAGGTTAAACAAATCCGTTTTTATTGGATTCTTTGGACAAATTTTTTTTTTTTGACTCTAAAGAGTCTAATTTTATCATAAACGGGCCTAGTGCAGATATCGAGCAGCTAAGTTGTCGAGGCAGGGCGTCTTTTGGCCAAATTTTAGTCCAATTTAATCATTTAAGGCTCCGGAATGACGTTTGCCCAATTTTGAATATTTCGGAATTTTTGTTAGAAGACTAAATTGATTCGATTTGCTCTCCTTTTTGGTATAGTAATGAGGTTTCTTACCTTATTTTTACAGAATATTCAGCACAAGTTTATTTTTGAGTAGTTTCCTTGCGCTGCAAGTTTTCTTACGTCTTTAGGATTTCTTTTATATTATTAGGGTTGTTATTTATAAAATATATGTCTTGCAGAGCAAATCATTCATTCAATTATTAATATATTATCAGACATTCCTCTGCGAATTCTTTTCTACCTTTTGGATTCAAGGTAACCCTCGTTATATATTATCAGATTCCTCTGTGAATTCCTTTTCTTCCTTGTGGATTCAAGGTAACCCTCGTTCCTTTGTGAACGTTTTCGCTTCCGCTCATGTAATTCACAAATGAATTGAAATGTTCAATCTTACGACTTACCTCCTGAATCCCTATATTATATTTATTTTTATAATAGAAAACAACAAATATAATTTTTTTCTTTTCTCTTGAAAACAACAAAAATAATTTTTTTTCTTTTCTCTTGAAAACAACATTGACCGAATGTACTGCATTCTGGATGGAATTGGATCGTCTAAGTTAAAATTCATCTAAGTTATCATAAGTTGAATTTTCTATATAATAACATGTGTCATTAAGATATATTTACGAGCTATATTAAACCACGTCAGTTAATTTAATAAAATTTAGAAAACTACACTGTTTTAATACTAAAAGCTTTACAAAGACTTATAAATCTCTCCTATAAAATCTCTTCTCTTTTCTGCAAAAAATATTGTTCCCTCTCTCTCTTTTCTGAAATAATAGTATTGGCTTGGATGAAGAAGTTGATTTTATTAAAGAAACTTGAATAATATTTTCAATTTAATAGTATATAGTTTCTGATTAGATGAATTTTGTAAAATTTAAGTTTGAGCATAATTTGCTATGATATCAATATAAAAAAGACGTTCTTCATTATTTAAAAAATTAGAAATACTAAATCTTTGGTTGGTAATAACTAGATGCATTTTTATGCAGATTCAGATTTAAACTGAAGTATAAATGGTTAAGATATTTTAATACTTTTTTTTTATTATCTTAAAACGATATAATTTCTTAACTTTTATTAAATTAACTGAAGTGATTTATTATAAGTTATAAATATATTTTAAATGACACATGTTATTATGTAAAAAAATTCAATTTAAAATAACTTACAATATCTCAGTCAAACTTTTGAGATACCAATACTTTCTTAAGCCGGTTTATAGGTTTTACTTTATTTAGTACAGTAGCAGTTTGACAGCTTTTCCAATTAATTTTTCCTAAAATTTTGAAAGCCAAGTGTAGGACACAAGTTCAAGTGTAGAGGTAGAATTGTTGTAGTACAATGGACAAAATAAAATATGTATCTGGTGCACCTCTTCTAAAACTCCATATGATTAACAATTTTCTTTTTTCACACATGATTAAAATTTATAAATTACCTTCTGGGTAAATTTGAACTTGTTTTAGTAGGACAAGACTATTTAATCACTGACATGATATATGAAAGGATATAAAAATATATATATATAAACACGAATTAATAAATTTAAGTTAGTTTCACAAATCATGATATTGTCATATAGCTATGACAATTTATTCAGCAGAAAAAAAAAAACAAAAAAATAAAAGAAGTGGTGTAGCAAGAAGATAAGGTTATGAAAATTGTGGTCAATAATGGACTCGGTGACCTTTCAATCTCAACCCTAGTTACACGTTAAATTGAATTGATGGAGATATTCATTTATTCATATTTATTACAAAGAACTCGACCCTTCAATATCTATTTTGTTCTTTGCCTTAATTTTCAAGCCAAGAAATACAAAAATTAAGGGCTTGTTTAGTTAATACTTTAATTAGTGCACTACAGCAAAGTAAAAGTACGAAGTATGTTTGGCAACGTCTGCTGTCATTTGAATAGTACCAAGTGCTATCAATTATGCTCTCATATTTTTGTTTTCAAAAATCTCACAACAAATTTACATTACCAAACAAGTTTCGAAATAATGTTATACACACTCTAAAGTGAAAAAATTACTTGTATTTTGGATAGAAGTAAAAACACAAAGTAATTGTAATTGCCAAACAGCCCTAAATCAAAATGTTGAATCACCTATTTTTGACAAGCAAGCAACATAGACACTGTACATAGTCAATGGTTTTATTCTCTTGTTTAAGAGAATTCATGTCTATTTAGTTTAATTTTCTAGTAGTAGTTTTGTGAAATTGGGTATGCATTACTTATCAAAAAAAGGAAATTGGGAATATAAAATTTTGAATTGTTTTTTGTTTCATATATCAGAAGACATTAATTTTTTATTCAAAAATTGAACCAAATAGACATTTTTGTCATTAAACTTTTATATTGATTACTATTTTGACAGTCAAGTCCACTTATGAAGGTAAGGATAATAAGATTTTCACTCTCTATAACACAGTTTTAAGTATTTAAAGTAAAAAGTGATTAAATTTTATTCCATGCGACCATCAAATTAACCCATGGGACAATAATTGAAATTTTACGAGAAAAAAAAAAAAAAAAAAAAAATTTGTTGTCCACGACTATATGAGGCAATAAAGGAGAAAAAGACATACAATCAGCATCAATTTTCGAATATGTCACCAAGCATGGTGTATAAACTGTAACGTGGCTACTAATATGCCAATGACTCTCTCATGTTACATTCTCTTAATGGTTGGAAAGTTCCCATTTTGGTGGATCTGCTTTTGTTAAAGGTATATATGACACAATTGTACAAAGAAATGAGCATCTATCTATCATAGATTCCCTCAAATTGTGCATAATTAGAATTTTGGTATTCGAATTTCATGTCACCTATATACAGTAGGAGCTAAGGTTTCTCTTGCTAGTCCATTTGAATTTGGCTTAATTTATCCTTTTCAGAATTTAGAATTATTCGAGTACCCTCCCAAACCCATCTCATTGAAGTAATTCTAAGAAGTGAAGACCATACATGAGGAAGAGCTTAACGTTACACCTTACGTCACACGCAAGTGTCACGCATTTAGACAATGACATAGGTAGGTGTCCTTAAAAACCCGTTTGATAAGATTTCAAAAGTTAGTATTTCCTAATTACCAATGATTTATTTTGCTTTGGGCTAAATCCATAGTGATTAGACAAAATCTTATATGGGCTTATATATGAAGGTTTGGACTACAAGATTATTAATGGGAATTGCAAGTCTCTTGTGGATGCGTATTTGCTAATGTTTCCATTAGAGTGTTATGAGATGATATTTAACTCTCTTGCAACATCATAATAACTATTCAATAAGGGGGTGAAGAGGGGAAACAACGAGATGGTTCATTGTTTGGTCCAAGTTACTAAGAAAATAAAAAATAAAAAAGCTTTAAAGATTTATTTTTTATTTTTTTTTTATCTAGTTTGTATATTTTTATAAGTAGATTAGTTGTTGTTTACGTGTAGTGATATTTATTTAATGAGATTATTTTTTGTAATTAAAAAAGAATAAGAAGAAGAAAATCAACCATTTTACTTGTTCGAGTTAATTGATTCATTCTAATAAAGGTGGATTTTTTAAACAAAGCATATTCCCCTATAGTCGATTTTCTTTTTAATAACTGTTTTATATCCTTTCATTACTTATTATTTCTTTTTTAGATTAATTACACTTACATCCTTTAAAGTTTGACCTATTAACAATTAAATGGAAGTTAACCTCTTTTTTAACACTGACACCCCCTCAAAATTTGTTCCATTTGACAAACACACTCCTAAGCACACTGACACAAAATAAAATAAATATTAAAATTACTAATTTACCCTTCTAACTAATTTTAATTAACCTAACTAGCCTCTTCATCATTCCACATATAGTATATATGTACGTGTTATATATGTACACAGAAAGAATGGGGAAAAGAGGGGAAGAAGAAAAGGATGGTTGCTAACTCCACTAGCGGCACACCACCAAAACCACGGTCACCATATCGCCACCCACCATTGCCACCTCCACCAACGCTTCTCTCTCTACCCTCCTACCTTCGCAACCACTCCAACCTACCACCACCACTCCACAGCTCTGCCACACCAACCACCACCACCAACGCTCCACACCCAACAATGATCAAAATAACCTCTTGCAAACTTTGATTGAATCTGGGTTTTTTGCAAATGGGAAATTTCACAAAGAGGCTAACCACAGTACCGATTTCCACAGCAACTTTCACATACTTTTCAACTATCATTAGGCCTTTTTATTTTTATGTTGAGTCCTATTTTCTCTCTCTACATATACATACACACGTATATACATATAACCAATCAACCTCCACCCCACAACCACTGCCCACTATCGCCACCACGACCCAGCATTGGCACCTCCACCACCGCACACCCCTTTTCTCTCCCTCTTTCTCCACTCACCACCGCAGCCTCCACCACATCCTTTCGCCTCCACAATCCCACCGCCCCATTACGGGTCGATTGCCCCTTATGGAATTTAGACCACACATAGTGACAGTAGTGTTTCTTTCTCTCATTCTCTTTATACCGTTGCAATTTCAAAAAGTAAACCACTACGAGAACACATAAGAATCTCCTCCATTTGTCG